TATGATACAAGCCTTGAACCATCCCAAAGGCCAAAGGGCATTATAAAAGAAAAACATAATTTGAAAAAGAAAAAGAAAAACACAAAACCCCACAATCACCGCTTTCCTTTACACTCCATCTTTCCTTTCCCGAATAAACAGCAAAAGGCACACACACACACACACACACACACACACACACACACACTCAATTATTACTTCACATTTCACACACTACACACACAGTTCACTGCTTGAAGAACTGAAAAGCAAGGCCATTACACAAGAAACAAAAATGGGAGTTTCAGTTCCCATTCTCGCGATCTCAATTTCCCTTCACCTCATTGCCTTCGTTTTCGCCGTCGGCGCCGAGCGACGCCGTAGCACGGTGCCCTTTTTTTTTGTCCCCATTTTTTTTTCTTCAGCTAGTTTCTCTTCTTCTTGGCTGGATTTTGATTTCTATATTTCCATTTCGTTTTCTTTTGTAGGCAAAAGTGGTCCCCGACGAGTATGACGAGAGAACATACTGCGCTTACGGGTCGGACGCGTCGACGGTGTACGGACTGGCGGCGTTTGGGCTGCTGCTGGTTGCGCAGTCGTTAATCAACGGCGTTACCAAGTGCTTGTGCTTCGGGAGAGGGATGATGGGTGGCCGCTTCACTACTTGTGCTGTTTTCTTCTTCATTTTCTCATGGTAACCTTACTCTGCCGTTATAAGTCCCCATTTCTTCGTGAATGTGTTGTGAATTTTGCTGCTCGTATTAGTCTTGTTGTTTGTTTGTTCAGTAAATTATTCAATTGTTCAGTACATTAGTGATGTTTCTGGCTTTTGCCTTTGTGCTTATTATCTAGTGATTACTTACTGAAATTAGTATAGTGATAATATAGTCTGTGTAATATGCTCTTGTTTCGTTTAGGCTTTTGTTTCTGGTTAATTAGCTATTTTGTCTACGGTAACTGTGATGCTGATTCAGATTACTATGCTTGCTGTAGTTTTGTTCATGAAGAGAATTGTTTGGGAACATATTTTTAGATAGGTCTAGGTGAATTTGTTTGGTCTTGAGGAGCCGACCTAAATGCCATATTTGCTGTCTAGACTATGCTATGGAGTGTTGACATTTTCATTTCAACGTACCTTAAGCAATTTCACTATAATATCTCATGAACGGAATGTTGTGCGTCGAGAACTCCATGTCTTTGACTTGGACATTTTTTCGTTAATAATGATTTTGAACTGATTTAGGCGACCAGTTAGCATCAAGTATGTTGCTGAATGTAGCATCTAGTTCTAGAAGTACATGAAGTTCTTTGCTAATCTAATTAATAATCGTAACCTTTTGCTTTCAATGAGCATAGCCACTTGTATTGGCATTTTTTTCATCCCCTTCATAACTCTGTCTTTCTCTCTTATTGTGAATTATCAACTACTCTCTGAATCTTTTTTCATTGATAATCTCTAGATGGACTTCATTGTGTTTTTGATAAGCACATAGAACCTATCTGAACTTGCATTTTTGTCATAGGTAATGTTCCGTAAGCTGGAACTAGTTTGATAAGCATAAAAAAATTTCATTCTTGGTGCATTGGTTCGTTCATCAAGCCAATCTTTAACTACCGCACAGTTTAATATCATTTCAGTAAATTGTTGTACTTCAGTTTAATCTCATTACATCATAAACTGCATGCTTTTAGAGAGGTGACTTTGAACATTTGATTGTGATACATTCAAACTAGAACATGGCGAAAATCATAGTAGATATTAGGCTCTTTAAGATTGTATCAAGTGAGTCCCCGTGATATCAAATTTGTGCCATGGCGGATTTCTACCTAAACGCAATTAGAAGTTTGTGAAGGATGGCGTTATGGCGGCGCCATAGGCCACCATTGTGTGACTTCCGCCTTCTGCCACTAGTGGTCCCTTTCTTTTATGTACAATTGTGTTTGAACATATTAGGATTTTTTCTCCTCTTAAGTGTATTATGTGCATGGCACATAGTAATGTGCTCAAAATGTCATATTGTTGTAATCTATCATAAATTTGTTATTCCAATGGCTGCACCAAGAAGCCGTAGAATTAGCAGCTGCTCATTTTGTGAGCCCTCAAGATTTTAGAGCAAGACAAAATAAAACATTAAAATGATGAAAACAACATTACTTGTTTGCAAGTGTCCAAGTTATTTTTTTCTTCTCATTTTTTTTTTTTTAATTTCCGTTGTGTTCGTTCTTGAATGTTTTTCCGTTATGTTAGTTCTTGCATGTAGCTTCATCCTTTCATATCTTAAATTTGATTATTCTTGATTTATAATTGGATATTTAACTTGCTACGCCTGAAAAATATATTATGGTCGGTAACATTCATGTGATAACTTACCTCGACCTAAACTCATTGTGCTTTATTAGAATTTATGCATGGTATAAAAACTATGGAATAGGGTTACCTGTGTATTAGTTTGAAGTTTCTTGAAGTATTATTCTTTATTAGTCCCTTATTTGTAATAATGGAATCCATATATAGATTTGTCAATAGCATTGAGAAGGCATGCCACTCAAGCAAGTCATCTGATAAATAAACAACTGAAATGTCGGATATGCTGTTTATATAAAGTGATTTTTATATTCATTTTCCCTCACAAAATTACCAAAAAAAAAAAAAAAATAGACAATTTTGCTCCAATACAAATATTCAAATAACCCCTTATAGCTAGTTCCCATCTACAAACTTCACCTCAGCATCAGTGTAGTTAAGAAGATACAAACCCTGGCCTGAAGGGGGGATTAGTTGTTGTTACAAAAAATAAAAAAAATATAAATAAAATTGGGCTTCTTTAATTAAATAAAAAATCCAAGGAAGAAGTTTGTTTCCAATCCTCCATTATTGTTTATTTGTCTACATACTCATTGACATTGATAACTTGCCATATTTATGTATTTTAATACAGGGTGACCTTTCTGGCAGCCGAGGCATGCCTGCTGGCTGGGTCAGCTAGGAATGCATACCACACAAAGTACACAGCCATTTTTCATGTGGAGCACTTGTCGTGCGCCACTCTTAGTAAGGGCGTGTTTGCTGCTGGTGCTTCCCTCACCGTCATATCGATGGTGGCCTCGGTTTTGTATTACTGGGCCCACTCGAAGGCCGACACGGGCGGGTGGGAAAAGCACCAAAATGAAGGGCTCGGGATGACTGGATCGAATTTTACGGAGAGTGAGCACCGGATGAAGATCGGTGAATTTGAGAAAGTTTGAAATATGTTTTTCCCTGCCTTTCTTTCTCCCTTTACCTTCTCGGCCAAGGCCCAAGAATTATAGGTTTGTTTTGTGATGTGTGTAATATATGTGTTTATGTAGAAAGTGAAGTTGCTATGTATTTACCTTGAAGAAGTTTGTTTCGTTGGTTTAGCAGCTGGAGTACATGAACTTGTTTAAATCAATTTTCCTCGCGCATATAGAAGATTTACCTTGATTTCTTGTTGTCATTATTTGTGAATATGTGGTTGTTTTTCATGGAGAGGGGTTGGGAATATGTGGTGGTTCTTTAGGCCGAGGGGTGTTAAAAAATTGAGTTATGTGGCCATAATAATTTGTAGAAGATGCTACAGTCCCGTTACAGAACTATTCCGTCGAAGTTTGTAATCGTTAGATCATCATGTAACGGGGATAGTTGGTCTACTGGTTACAAACTCTGACGAAATAGTAACTCTTCCGTCGGGGTTTGTAACCGTTAGATCATCATGTAATGGAAATAGTTGATCTAACGGTTACAAATCCCGACGGAATGGTTCCGTAACGGAACCGTAGCATTCCCATAATTTGGTAACAATCAATTGATTAAGAAAACGGACATCCTTCAATTTGAGGCCGCACTCAATTTTTTAAAAGATTCGTTTAGTATGTATACATATTTAATTTACATAAGTTCGATAAATGGAAAAAAAAAAAAANAAAAAAAAAAAAAAAAAACGAAATAAAATGTAGACAGGAATATAAATTTTACTATTGTAAAATTTTACTTGTGATTAGTGATGGGTTCGGTTCCTGAACCGAACAACAATTTTCTGAACGAACCGAATTATTAGGTTTTTTTAGAAATTTGCTACCAAAACCGAACCGATATGTGCACGCGGTTACTGTAAGTAACCCAAAAATCGGATTGGTAACTCATTTTATCGATTTTTACTAAATTGATGAAAAGACTAGAAAAGAAACCAACATTCAGGGTTCCCTCTGTTTCTCACACAATTTCCGCAGAGATAACAATCAATCCAATTCTACAACAAACTTACATCATCAAATTCAGTTATTATCAACCACAATGACAAATACATATTGTTGAGGATAAGTAGTTACCAAACTAGTGAGAAGGGGCGGCCTATTCGTCGTTCAGACATGCATGCACGTGAGAAGGGGCTGCGAGTACCCCCAGTTATAGTGGATTTCATCGGCCATTGTAAACCGAGCAGCTCGGGCGCGGATGGCTCTAGCCTCAGCAGATCGTCAGAAAAGACTCCATCTTTCTAATTGGATCATTCGATTTGTGTGCCGATCTAGTGTGATGTTTGAAGAAGACATACTCCACCTGATCGACGTGTACTGGATGCTAAACAGAACAATGGATCTGCACACGAAATGATGGCCCAACGTCTTTGATTTTTTCATTCATTATTGAGTTCAAACTTTTGATTTTTCTTGATCGCTTCAGAGAATGGTTGAAATCGATCTATCAGTCTAACGATGAAGCGCTTTAAAGTGGATAGTCTGGCAGTTAAAATTTGAGTTCATTTCATGGAAGTTAGGGGTTTCAGGCTGAGAATTGTGTTGACATTCTCGAGATTAACTTCGATTCCTCTTTGACTCACAAGATATCCCAAATATTTCCTCGAGACAACCTCAAAGGCGTATTTTTTAGCTCAGTGTTTATGATTGTATTAGCTGAAGAAAGGTCAGGAGTGTTCTTAGTGTTAGCCCTTCAACAATCAAGTTAGTAGAGAACATGAGAGTTATGTGTATATAAAAACCTTGTACTAGATATGATAAATATTTTAAATATTGTACCAATAGCCATATCAGTCAAGTCATCGGTACGTATATTAATTACCGATTCAGTTGGTATATCGTCAGTGTTACCCGAGTAGAAAATATATAACTCCCTCTTATTTATAATAAGTATCGTTTTGAAAAGTTGCACAGTAATTAGTAATCTTTTTTTGCCAATAATGACCCTCTTATTAATGAAGATAAAGATGAATGTTTTGAGAAAAGATGAAAAATGAATATAAAAAGACGTAGTCTATTTATTAGCTAGATGAGGGTAATAATGAAAAAATATGTACAAAAGATCCATAACGTCATTTATAGTTAATTGTTGATAAAACCAAAATGACATTTAAAAAAATTAGGAGGTATTAATATATACAAATTTCAATATCAAATATGACAAAAAAATATATATGTTTACCAATTTACAACTTC